AAAACTTTGAAGAGTAGAAAAAATGTAAAAATTAAGAATTAAAAATAAGAGAAAATTTTTTTTTCTTTTTTGCAAATAGCAATAGAAATTATGGGCCTCCTTCAGGGTATGTCTCTGCTGTCACAGTAGGCACCGTAGGAATCCCTGTGCATATACGAGTCAATGAGTTTCAGCAAGCCTGCTGCAGACCAAGTACAGTGGTCTGATGTGCCTTTACTGTAGAGATTCTCTTTACTTTTCCACCGAGCTTCCGTTTTCATCGAGGAGCCTGAGAAGCCCTCTTTCTGTTACTAACTTCTGCTCTATTTTGTGTCGCTCAGGACAAGGGTCTTTATAATCGCCTGTGCCTCTGTAGTATGGGACCAGGTAGCTGCCTTGGAGGCGCCCGCGCGGCTAAGCGGACCTCATTGTGGCGCGGCGGGGTGGGGCCCAGGACGGCCTGCAGAGCTTCAAGCAGCTTGTCTCACCTGGCGGGTTGGTCGCAGCTTAGAGAGGGTCAGATGGGGGTGGGGCTGCAATACGCCCCTAGGACCTCACCGTGCCGAGGGCGGGGCCCGGGACTACCGAGGAGCTTCAAGCTGCTTGTCTTACCTTTCTTAGGCTTTTGAAATAAGTTTTAATCTCACTGTTAACACATATTTGTAATTAAAAAGGGTATTTTTGAACATTAGGGAATCAAGGAAGCAAGTGACTTATTCTCAGGAAGAAGCTGCCATTTCTCATTGTTATTCATATTCTTGTCTCCCAGGTGACTTTCCAACAAGATGCTGCTCTCCATAGGGATGCTTATGCTGTCGGCCACACAAGTCTACACCATCTTGACTGTCCAGCTCTTTGCATTCTTAAACTTACTGCCTGTAGAAGCAGACATTTTAGCAGTGAGTACAGTAAAATTTATTCATGTCAAAAATTCTGTAAAGAACAACTTTAAAAAGTCCTGAATGATGGAATCCTATGGGACACTTACTTATAAACATATCAAAGAATATACACACAATTACTAGAAAGTGGGGTACCTTATTCACTTTTTTCTTGCTTAATAGCCAGTGTAAGATCTCATGCACAATAAGTACCTGATTAATGATGTTGTTTTTGAGAGTGTGCATGCACACAAGTGCTCGTTTACAGATGCTTACATGCTTGTGTATTTAATATAGAATCCTAGTTTTTCATAGTGTTGACTATTTCTAATGACTGTAAGATCTCAGTAGTATCTCTATTGGTAATAATAATTTAGAAATTCCACAAGATGTCCATAGAAAATTTCAGTTTAAGATTAATGAGTGAGATGAGCAGTAGTGTGTTATCTTAGGTTTGACAGTGAATAGAAAAGTTTTTAAGAAGATTGCCATCCAAAATCCTAATAGATTTCTCTTGGCTATGTCTTACCCTCCTTTACTACAAGAAGTGTATTTCCTATTTCTTGTTCTATGAAGGTACAAAAGGAGGAATTAACTTTGTGTGTGTGTGTGTGTTTGTGTGTGTGCATGTGTGTGCAACTTCCTTATATTCCAGGTCTTAGCTAAAGATTTATTGTTTTTACTGTCTGAGTGTTGCTGCTTTGCTTGGTGATATTAGGTAAGAAATAGAAGGACCATATTATTGCTGATCGAAGCATGATGTGGTCCTTAGATGTGCTTCTGCATAGTACAGTACAACATTCCTGGCAGATTCTGGGATAATTGTAGAGCTTGGGAGAGCAGTTTTTATACTATAGCTTTTGAAGGCGCAGAAGTTCTGTTAGTCCATGTGAGAGTTTTCCCTCTGTCACCGTCTTTAGTAGAGAACTGGTCAATTAGGTTTTAAAATTGATTTCCTAGTGTAGTCTGGTTCTTTTTGAGGTAGAGTGGATATAGTTGAACCTTTAAGGACTGAGTCTGTTGCTACTTAAATCTCTCCTCTAACTTGGTCTGCAAATGTAATAGTCTCATAATAACTTGTGAAATGAGTTAAAAGACTTATGAACTGAACGGGAATTAAAGTTCTCCTTGTCTCCCTTCTCTCCTGTGACTTCTCTCTCTCTCTCTGTCATTTTTAATGCTTTTCACTCTTTTGTCTTCTTTCTTTGATACCTGAGGTAGATTGTTATTCTGTGGTCCAGCTATCAGGTGGATTAAGTGATTGTTAGTGATCTGCTTTGGGGTTCTAACCAGTTGTATGATTTTGATAAAATTGCTTTAACTGTATATCGGTGACAAACCGGTGGCACACATTTGTTTTTAAGACAAAAAAATGTTAATATATGAGTTTTTTTCTAAACTAAAACCTCAGTATTCAGGTTTAATTATAGCTTTGGCACATCGCAACAAATAAGTAGGTTTTGGTTTGCAGTTTGGGCACTCATCTCTAAAAGGTTCACTATCACTAATAAATGCCTTAGCTTCTTTATTTGTAAACTAGAGTGTTGTGATAATGAAATAAGATAAACTATTTAAAATGGTATCTGACATATAGTAAATATCTTACATATCATTTTTATCTGCATTATAATTATTATTCTGATCATCTTGTGCTCATCCCCTCAAGAAAGTATGAGACCACTCAAGCTGTTGTTTTTTTTTTTTTGGTACCAGGGATCAAACTTGGGACCTTGTGCTTGTGAGGCTAAACACTGAGCTAAATCCCCGGCCCCCAAGCTGTGTTTTTTAAGACAAAACAAATGTTAAGTACTGTATAGAGGAAAGTCAATTCTGTTTGCCAGCAGTGTTCCCTGGGCCTCATGCAGATAAGTGTGAAATGTATTGAGTTGATATTGTCTAGTGAAGGGACCATCAGCATAGGAGGTGCTTGCATCCGGTCTCTGTTCTGACACTAAAAGAGAGAAAGCTAACATGAATGCAGAAATAGCTAGAGGAGAGTGGGCTGTGAAAACATAAAAAGAGGAACTAAAAACCAAGACAGAGGAACTGAATACGACACAGTCATTCACTGGAAGTGAGTCAAGAGGTAGAAAATATTAACTCTTCCTTTTAATTGAGTAAAAGAATTCTGAAATCTGAGTTTACAGTAATATAGATTTAAGTAAGTTGGACATTAGGTTGATTCTATTTCCAGTTAGATCAGAATTGGGATGCTACTTTTAAAAATACAAGCCAGTTTTTATTGTGCTATTTGTGTGCCAGATTCTTTTCTTTTTCTCTTTTTTGTTGGCCATTAAGTTCTTCCATTTATTAATTTCCAGTGTTTTTCCAGTTAGTTTGTGATTTCGAAGAGGCTATGGAGCTGGTAATATAGTGTGTTACTGACTAGTCAATAGAGCAGGGGTCTCCAACATCCAGTACTGTAGTCTGTTGGGAACTGGACCACATAGCAGGAGGTGAATGGCAGGTGAACAAGTAAAGCTTCAGTCATATTTACAGCTGCTCCCTCTTGCTTCCATTACTTCCTGAGCTCCACCTCTTGTCAAATCAGCAGCAGAATTAGATTTTCACGAGTCGGAACTCTGCTGGGAACTGTGCATGCTAGGGATAGAGATTGCATATTCCTTATGAGAACCTAATATATAATCTGAGGTGGAGCTGAAGCACTGATGCTAGCTTTGGGGAGTAGCTGCAAATACAGGTTAACATTAGCAGAGGGGTTTGACTACACAGACCATAATAAATTAGTTGCTTGCAGACTCATGAAAATCCTATCAGTGAATGGCAAGTGGTGATTAAGCTGCATAGGGTGGCAGGTTTTATAGTGGCAAGTGACTTGTAATTTGTTGTATAGCTTCATCTGTTGGCAAGCTTGAAGTCAGAATCTGACACTTTTTTTAGTTCACACATGGCCCGCATGTTATTTTATCACTTTGATCTGTACCTCTTTTCTTAATTGTCCAATTGTTTTGGTCACTGTGTTCATAAGCCCACAAGCTAACCCAAGGCAAAATGAGTAAAAAACAAATGTCACTGGAGAACTTCTTTGAAAAGGTGGACAGACCCAATGATGAGACAGCAGAAAACTCTGAGACTGCCAAGAAAGACAAAGGTGACTTTAAAAGAACATACCAAGAGTCCTACTTAAATTATAGTTTCATTGCAACAGGTGACTCACATTCTCAAAGCCTGCTTGTATAATATGTGGTGACCAGTTATCCAACAAAGACATGAAACCTTCAATTCTTATCCATATGGAGACCAGACATCCTGCATTAAAACAGAAGGCTTTGGATTTTTTTAAAAACATGAACGTGAAGATAATGTTTTACATGAAGTAATTGTTGAAGGCCACCACCACTTGATGAAATGTGTCTGTACTGACAGCATCATTCTTAGCGGTTAGCTCCAATGATAAAGCTTAGAAGCCTTTTACTGTTGGTAAAGAGTTGATCTCGCTGGCTGCCAAGGACATTTGTCATGAACTTATAGAAAAGGGTGCAGTTCAAAAGGTGGCTCGTGTTCTTCTTTCAGCTAGTACCATAACTAGATGAATTGATGAAATTTCAGAAGATATTGAGGCACAGTTGTTAGGATCAGTGAGTCATCATGATAGATAATCCAGGCTGACAATTCTGCTGATGTTGACAACAAGGCAACAATGCTTGTTTTATTGTGATATATTTTTCAGGAAGATGTGCATGAGGATATGTTATGTGCACCTTTTTGCTAACCAATACCACAGGTGCAAAACTATTCAATTCTTTGAATGATTCCATGCCAGGAAAACATAACTGGTCATTTTGTATCAGTATATGCACAGATGGAGCAGTTGCCATGACTGGACAGCTTTCTAGTTTCATTACTAGGGTCAAAGAGGTTGCTCCAGAATGTGAGTTTACACAATATATTATCCATAGAGAACTGCTGGCTAGCGAAAAATATCACCTGAACTTAGCAGTGTTTTGCAGGATTTGATTAAAATTACCAACCACATTAAAGTACATGCCTTTAACTCCCATTTATTCATGTAGCTCTGTGAGGAGATAGATGCAGAGCACACATGCCTTCTTTTATACATGGAAGTGAGATGGCTTTCTAAAGATAGATTACCAGAGTTTTTGAGTTATGAGATCCACTCTAGAGATTTCTTTTAGGAAAACTACTGCCAACACATTCCATTGACAGAATGGGTTGCAAAACTTGGTTACTAGTTTGACTTATTCAAACTGCTCAGTGAATTCAGTCTGTCACTTTAGAAGAAATGATAACTATATTCAAGTCAGCAGATAAAGTGGCTGCATTCAAAGCCAAAATGGAATTACAGGATGATGGAATGATCATGGAGTATTTTGACATGTTTCAAACATTAACAGATTTTGCAAGAGACTGAGCCAGGCCTTTCTTTCTCCCACCTGGTGAATGATCACCTATCTCATCTTTCAAAAGAGTTTGAACATTACTTCCTAACCACAAAAGATCTCCAGAGTGGGAAGGAATGAATTTTTGACCCATTTGTGAATAAGCCTGGTGAATCAACTTTGTACATGGTTAAAGAGTATCAAATTCTTGAGAGTGCAAATGCTGGTGACCTTGAAAGCATATTTGATACAACTTCATATCTCCATACATTCTAGATGAAAGTCAGAATAGAATATCCTGAGATTGCCACTAAAGTACAGAAAAGCCTGGTTCCATTTTCTTCATCTTATTTTTATGAAGCAGAGTGACATCAACCAAAATGAGATTATGGAGTAGATTGGACCTAAGCAACATACTTCAGGTGTCACTGTCTCCTAGCACTCCCAGATAGGACTGTCTAGTTGCAGGAAAGCAAGCTCAGGGTTCCTATTGATTCTGCATTATAATGAGTTGTGTAATTATTTCATTACATATTACAATTTAGTAATAATAATAGAAATAAAGTACACAGTAAACAAAATGTGCTTGACTTATCCTAAAACAATCTTCTACCACTCCCTCTCGCTCCATGGAAAACTTAACTTCCATGAAACTATGTATATGCCATAAAGGCTGGGGACACTGCTGTGGTAGATCCTGAGTAACTGGGAGGTAAGACTGTGTCTTATTAAACTATGTTTCTAGTGGTTGCTATCCATTATACAATAGAATATCAGTAGATGTTTGAGCTGATTAATAGCCTTTCCTTAGAGATTTAGTTCTCTCATATTTTCTCCTAATAGCATTTGTTCCTTGGTTCTTTCAGATTTACTCTTTTTTTCTTATCTCATTGTTTTTCTTTCCTTTGACCCCCAAATAAATGTGACATTATTAATTATATAGATTTATAACTAGAAAAATAGATTTTTAGAATTGGCAGGGGAGCCAGGCACATATCTATAATCCCAACACTATTGGAGGCTAAGGTAGGAAGAGTACAAGTTCAAGAGCAACCTGGGTAACTTAGTGACTTAGCAAGAGCCTATGTCAAAATTAAAAAAATAAATAAAGGGCTGAAGATGTAGTTCAGTATAAAGGCTCTGGGTTTAATCCCCAGTACCATAAACAGAACAAAATAAACAAAGAACCACAAAACTTAGAGGCCCTTAGGTTATAAGTGACTAGTTAACTGAATTGTGTCCATGATCTTATTGGGAAGTATATCTCAGTATTTTTTTTTTTTGGGTACTGGGGATCGAACTCAGGACCGTGTGCTTGTGAGGCAGGTGCCTGAACCACTGAGCTAAATCCCTGGCCTTATCTCAGTACTTTTTACTTTGTTTTATAGCGCCAACCCAATTTTGGTTGATGCTATATCTGCTTTTTGATATTATTGCCTGGATTTTTCAGAGAGATTTGTTTCTAGATAGTGGTTGTAAGGTCAGCAAGCTGAGCCACAGAGAAGCACCTTGTGGTAGTGGTATGAATAGACTGGATTATAAATGATAGTAGTCAAGAAGTCCAGTAATGGATTTACAGAGTTTCAGCTCTACTACTACTACGTAGTTTTATGGCCTTGGTCAAATTACCTAGCATCTCAAATTACAGTTAATTTCTTATAAAAGTTGGAGGGTATGGAAGACAGTGTAGTCTCCGTGTGTGTGTTTTGTTTTTTTTTGGTGCAGAGGATTGAACTCAGGATCTTGTGCTTGCAAGGCAGATGCCGTGCCACCGAGCTAAATCCTTGGCCACAGTGTAGTCTCCTTGTCCTTCCAGTTTACTAGAGAAAATTATTTTCAATATTCTGTGGTCAGTTTGTAAAATGAAGATGATAGTAATAGTGGTATACATTAGCAGTCCCCAACCTTTTTGGCACCAGGGACCAGTTTTATAGAAGACAGATTTTCTATGCATTGGGGCAGGGAGATGGTTTTGCGATGATTCAACTGGATTAGATTTATTGTGCACTTTATTTTTTCCTTAGTTTGTCTCCATATATCTAGATCAGTTTATTTTATGGTGATGTCTTTGAATGGAAGGAGTAAAATAACCTCACTTTCAATATGAAGCTGATCATAGTTAATTGAATCCATTCACTTTAATTGAAAGATACTTTAATTGAGATTAAATGTTAAATTGTAGTGATAGATTTAAAAGCGCTTGATGACTGTAAAGCACTTTCTAAACAATAGAACACACTGCAAATATGAATTGTTTTTGCAGTGAGAAATTAGCCTGAAGCAATTCCCACATACACTTGATGGTGTTCAAGTGTGTTGCCCTACTGATTATCACAGAATGGATAGGTTCAGGGTCAAATTCAGATGCTGAATCACAGCTTTTTTGAATTAATTGCAATCATACAGTGAGAAACAAAGATACAGGAGGTTATGTGAAGACAGTAGAGGGTTTCATTGTGATGCAAGATGGTGCTACCTGAATCTTGTGTGTAGTTTGTCGAATTTCTGCTGCTTCCTCTGCTTAAGTATGGTTACCAGGACCTGAGTTGAGGGTGAACCAGGAAGACTTGCTCTGTTAAGAGATTTAGACATTTGTTGTTAAATTGTGGTGCTCTTTATCTTGATCCTTTTGGCAGATGCTGTGAGATTCTACAATGGGACTCAGCAGTAGGTGTTTAGGGATGACACAACTATTAATTTGGAAGTGTTACCTAATCCATGCTTTGTGAATATTTAATGTTTACTTGATCAGTCCATCCTTTTCTATCAATATTATGGTTAGTATTGGGTAATAGTCTTATTTTGTTACATCCTTTTTATCTATATTCAAAAAATTTTTTGGTTTTTCTGTTTATGGTCTACAGGTTATGCACAGCTATCTTACCTCCTAGTATATCACAATTTTCATCTGTGCTTCAAAAGTTAGTTGGTTACTATCAATGCTTGGTTTCATCTATCTTCCTTATTTCTTTTGTTCTCTATGTAGCAGATTGAACATTATTAAATGATGCAGTGAACTCCCCTCATAATTATATCATTAGTTTTATCTTCTAAAAGCACAGGGAATGTTTATTTGCTTTAAGCAAAATACTGATAAATACTACAGGATTAAAATCAATGTGTGGAAGGAGGAAAGTTGTTAGAGTTTGAATATCTACGGGTTTCTCTGTGTATGTATTTAATTGAGTTTAGACTTTTCATTGTTCTATTGTGGATAAAAATATTTAGTTTATATCAAAATCAGTAAAGCCTTAAAAGTATGATTTGATGGTGCTTCTTCTCCTGTGAAAAAGTAATTTTTCATAGCTAGAGACAGAAATCCTATAAATCTTTTGTATTAAATCAAACCCTTAAAATACAGAGAAAATACAGTAGAACTCTTCTGCTGAAAAAAAGGTATGTATGGAAAATGCCTGGTTAGGAAATTATTTGTGTTAAACTCAGACAAACAGTAGGTTGTTTAGTGTTACAGAATTACTGTTGCTGTTTGATAATAACATATGAAATAAAAATCAAATTTAAACATTTGTATGTGTTATAAATTGTATATAGTTCTTGCTGTTTTACTGGATACACATTTATAAATGGGTTTATTATGATAAACTACATTAATAAATCAGGATTATGAAAATGATAATTTATATAATTTAATACATTTTAATGTTTTAAACATTTTAAATTTTTAAATGTTTTTAATGTCATGTAAATTGGCTTTAACTTGATTATTTTTAATTTTACATTTAGTATAATTTTGAAAATGCATCTCAGACATTTGATGATCTTCCAGCAAGATTTGGTTATAGACTTCCAGCTGAAGGTTTAAAGGTAAGAAAATAGTAATATGGTAAAGGCACAAGGTATTTAATAAGATTTTTCTTTACTTATAGAGTGAAAACACTTCTTACCATTTTATTATTTATTATCATAAAACTCATGTGTCGTCATTTGAAAGAGGTAAAGAGTACTCAGAAGGTATGCATGTGACCCTCCAGCACATACACACAAAAAGGTATGAAGAAGAAAGTGAAAACCACAGATGGTTGTATTTTTCTGGCCTAGCCATTGTTAAAATATTGGTATATAATATTTCAGACCCGTTTTCTGGGATATGTGGTTTACATTTTGTAGATGGATGTTCATAAATATCTTTATGTAAATTTTACATTTACAATAAATCTGTATTTAACACTAATAGGAACTTTCTACTTTATTTCAAATGTTTAAGGTTAATTTTGTTCACTTCCCTTTTGAGGGCTTACTAGATGCTCTGTGTATTGGGAAGTTTTTCAACTCTGGTTGGATCATGAACTATACCCAGCCTTGTGTGAGCTCCAGGTATTGTCTGTGTATTCCTTTCCAGTGGTTCCTTCCTTAGTTTTGGTAGTTTCTTTACATACACATACATATCACTATTCGTTCAAAGATTTGAGTGGATCCCTTTACATCTATCTGGAGTGCCCTTTCTCCTCTTTACAACTCTATCTCTCTCAGTATTCTGCCCCACAAAACCTAGTTACCTTGACCTCCACAGCCTCTGAACTTTGTCTCCTCAACTCAGTGAGACTACCAGTCTGTTTTGGGTTCCTCTGCCTGATAGTAAGACTTGGGATCTTTCAGCAGTAAATTGAAGTACTTGTAAGGTTCATGTCATTTGTTTTTCTCTTCATAGAAATCTTTGTACTGCTTGCACTATTGCCCAGTGTTTGAAAACTAATGTTACATATGTTTTTGTTTGGTTTTCTAGTTGTTTAAGGCAAGAGGGTAAAACAAGTCTCTGTTATTCCATCATGACCCCAAAGTATAAGTTATCTTAGTAATAGATAAATCCTAATTAATTATCAAATCCTTTTAAAACAAATTACTGAAAAACTTTCACTTGAGGAAATTATTAAAGTGAATGATTTTAGAGTTGCCTATTGATGATGTGAATATTTTTCCACTTTTTTCTTTTTTTTTTTTTGGTACCGGGGATCGAACTCGGGTCCTTGGGCTTGCATAGCAGACATCGAAACCACTGAGCTAAATCCCCGGCCCAAACTTAATTTTTTTTTTTTTGTTTGGTAGTGGAGATTGAACTCGGATCCTTCCGCTTGCAAGGCAGGCGGCGGAACCACTGAGCTAAATCCCCGGCCCCCACTTTTTTCTCTTTTAATTTCAGTGAACTTAAGTATAATAGTCTGGGATTTTTTTTATTGTAAGCTTTTGCATTCTTGGAATATTAATATGAAACAAATTTATTTCTAGTGCTTTTTTGACTTTTTCAGAAATAATTTAAAAAATTATGTAGTTGGCCTAACTTACACTACTGACTCTGTAAACGTTTTAAAGTTACCTTTTAATGCTTTTGAATTATTAGTAGGCTTTTAAGAATTATATTTTTAAATAATCTTTTATTAAAATGTGACATTTAACTTACTATGAAAAATATATAGCCAGAAATTACTGGGAGAAATCTAACAGAGTACACGAAGTGAGATGTAACTTTGAGACACTACACATGTATGGTCTAATCTGTGAAGAAATGAAAACAATCTTTTAATCCCATTAAAGACTTTTTTTTTTTGGTATCGGAGATCGAACTCAGGACCTTGCACTTGCAAGGCAGGTGGCAGCACCATTGAGCTAAATCCCCGGCCGTAAAGACTTATTTTTAAGCTATTATGTACTTTCAAATTTCTATCCTATTCATTGTTCAGTGATGTACAGAAAGGCGTGGAAAATATAGCTATAAAATTTGCAGGTGGATATGAAGTTTGAAATAATTCATATACTAATTTTTGCTGTTAGATCTTAAAATATAGGAGAATTATAGTTAGCAGCATATGTCAAAGTGCATCAAAATAACTGTGGTGTGTTTGCTAGAAACCTGATTCAGTTCTACAATGTATCAATAGACATGTGATGTCTAGAACAGGTTAAAAAGTGATAGTTCTCCTTTCAATTAACAATAGTTGTGTTTAGTTTTTGTTACTAAACTGAAATATATAGTAAAGTGTTAATAACCAAGTCATATACCACTTTTTCTCTTACTGCCTCCATAGTCAGAATTACTGCATTCTCTACAGATGTATCATATGTAGTTTGTACTGTATCATATTAGGTCTGTTAATTCTTAACAGGTATAAATTGCTTAGGAAGGAACTCGATCTTATTCACCCATCCTGCTACTTAAGCGAGACCCTCATGAAATGATCAAGTGTATTCAGAAAGACAGTGTTAAAGCAACTTAATATTATCTGAGTAAAGTTTAAAAGATTATTTTTTCTTTTTGGTGCTGGGATCAAACCTAGGGGCTCAGCCATACAAACCACATACTCTACTACTGAATTACACCCTCAGTTCCCAAAGGATTTTAAAAAATGCATAAAAGAAGCAACATCCACAAATATTTGTAGAAAAGGAATTAAATGTGATTTGTGTATGAAAGTTATTGGCAGGTTTGTAAGAATGATCTAGTAAATAAGAGAAAGGAAAGGGGCTGAGGATGTAGCTCAGTGGTGCTGTGTCTGCCTGGCAAGCACAAGGTCCCGAGTTTGATCCCTGGTACCAGGGGGAAAAAAAAGAATGTACACAGGTTGTGGGTATTTTATTTACTTACTTATTTTTTGGTACCAGGGATTGAACTCAGGACCTTCTGCTTAGGAGGCAGGCAGTGGCACCACTGAGCTAAATCCCCAGCCCCTGGTTGGGGGTATTTTTAATATTCCAGAAAGCTGTTGAAATAAATAATTTGTCTGGGCCATGTGTGGTGATTTTTCACCTGTAATCCCAGCTACATAGGAGGCTTAAACAGGAGAATTGCAAGTTTGAAGTCAGCCTAGGTAATTTAGCAAGATCCATCACAAAAATAAATAAAAAGGGCTGGAGTTTATGTAGTTTAGTGCTCCCTGGGTTCAATCTCCAGTGCCACAGTCCATTAGTCAGTCAGTCTCATATTAGAAAACCTTAGTTGATAACAAAGACTGCTTACTTTAACTCTTTTTGATCTGTTTGAAGGTAAAAATTATGACAAAAAGGTCCTACTGACATCATCATTTGAATTACTGTATCTCAAATTTTGGAATCAACTTTGATTGTCTTTTAGACAAACATTTGGGTTTATTTTTATATTTATTTATTTGTTTTTTTGGTACCAGAGATCGAACTCAGGACCTTGCACTTGCGAGGCAGGCAGCGGAAACACTGAGCTAAATCCCCGGTCTGGTTTATTTTTATAAATATTCACTTCTCTTCTTGTTGCTCATTTTGTTCCTCACCTAGTTTTTTTTTTTTTTCTTTTTTCTTTTCCTTTTGTCTTGAGGCAGTACAGCATAGTGATTGAGAATATATGGAGGTTGACTTCTAGGATTGCATGCTAGCTGTGTGTAACCTTGGAAAGTTACCTTTTTGTGACTTAGTTTCTCACCTGTAAAATGGGAATGATAATAGTATTAGTTCATATTAGTTCATAGTTGCTGCAAAGATGAATTCAATTAGTATATTGAAAGGGCATAATGCCTGACTCACGACTCTGAGTGCCATACTCAATAAATGTGGGATTATTGCTTGCTATTACTACAGTTATTATCATTTAATAATTTCAGTTATTTACTCATAAAACGGGTTAGCACTTTTCTCACTGTCTTCCCATTTGTACTTTTAAACTTTTACTTTCAGCTTTTTTCTTGACAGTATTGGTGTAGTTTAGTTTAGTTATGACGTGTAGGCAGTCAGAGCAGCCTATCAGTAGGTAGGGTCTAGGGTCCATAGAGTTGTTAGGGTCAATAAAAGAAAATAGCCCATAAAAGAAAATAGCTCATCGGGGTTAAGAGGTGATTCAAGCAGATAGCTAGGCTTCTCAATGTAAAGGAAAACACAAGAACGAAGGATAAAAATTAAAATAAAAGGTGAGATAAGGGCCTTTCCTTCTGGGAAAAAGCTATACTAAGTTATTTGACAGCTCCTCTGGGGCTGGACTTGGAAACATTTAGAAATTCAGAATAACAGGTTTCATTTGAACTCAGTCTCTTATGAACCAGCTAAATAACTAATTTTCTTCAGACCTTAAACCCACAAAGCCACCCTTTTAAAACAAGTCTCCACTGCTCTGCTCATCAGTATGAGGCCAGAAGAGAGCCAGTTGCCCTTCTGGAAATCCCTTGTGCTGGATGCCCACCACAAGTTTGCTTTTTCTTTTAATTTCCAATAAACATCCTCCTAACTCCGTCCTTTTGCCTGCAATTTTATTCTTCAACTGTGTGAGACAAAGAATTTGGATTTATACAAAATTGACTGTTTCATTATCACTATATATATATATATATATATATACATATATCATGTTATTGAATTATCTCTTTATGACCTTCTTAACTAGTGTAATTTAACAACACAAGTAATTGTTTTGTAACATTTACCTTGAACTAAATATTTTCTAGAGCACTAAAGCAAGATTATGTTAAATGTGATTTTATGTTATGTTAAATGTGATTTTTATGTTTAGGTCATTTGACTATTCAGTTAAAAATAGATAACCTGAATCACTTTGGAAAACTGCTTAGCAGTATTTATCAAAGCTTGATAGCCTGTCAGTTAGCTTGAGAGCCTGTGATTCCAATCTGTGTATGTCTTCAGTAGATATGTACATGGGTTTACAAAAAGGCTTATACTAGAATGTTTATAGTAACACTATTTATAATTGCAACAAACTAGTGCTTATTGACAATGGATTAAATTGTGATATAGTCACAAATTGGAATATTGCTATATAGAAATGAAAATGAATGTTCTACAGGGGCTATCTATCTATCTATCTCTAGTATTATGGATACTCAAGAGTAGGGAAGCCTCACAAATCCAGCACTGAGAGAAAGAAGTCTAAAAGAGCATTTACTACACTGTATAGTTCTGTTTGTGTCAAGTGTAAAATTAGGTAAAACCAAATTTAAGTGATCAGAAATCCAGGTAGTGTCATTGGGGATGGAATGGGAATAATGACTGGCAAGGAAAATAGAGGAAGTTTCTGGATCATTATTGTGGTGGATTAACTAATGGTCAACTTAGAATGCCCAAGTGGACTGAGTCAGCGTAGTTCTGGACGTGTAAGACCCACCTGAGAATTGGTGCCAAAGGCATAAAAAGAGAACTGGAGGGGAAATTTGTATGCTGTTAATTTTCCTGGAGGAGCTTGCTGCAGCTGGTTTTCATGATACGAACTCGGCTGTTCTCATTGTCAGAAGAGCTCTAGGCCTCCCTGTCACTGGGGATGGCTGCTGTTTTCTCCAGAGGAGCTCTGTTCTTCACCTTGGGTGTTGCTTCCTGGCTCCAGTGCAGATCTCTCAGCCTGGTGGCATGGAGCCTTCACCTCACAGGTGCAGGCTTTCTAGCTATCACCACTGGTCTTTGGGCCTTCCTGGTGCAGATCCTTGATGCAGACAAGCATGAAACATTGCCGTGGGCTCTAGGCCTCTGGCTAAACTTAGGAAGGACGTTGCCATGGGCTTTAGGCCTTCAGCTGGACTAGAGGGGGGCATTGTTGTGGGATCCAGGCCCTTGGCTGGATTCTTCAGGTGTCTAGTGCGTGGAAAGATCTCTTGCACTCCTCTGCATTTGACTTTTGGGGTGAATATTATAAACTAATCCTATAAAGTATGTGTCCTGTATTAAATCTATTCCCTTGCAAACTCTTAACTACAACAATTATTAATGTTTTATTGCCTGATAAAGATGTGCTCAGTTTGTGAAAACTCACCAAGCTCAAAATTATGTTTTGTGCTCTTTGCTTTATGTGTATTAGAGCCCTAAAAGCTTTTCAAGGAAAATCAGCGTGTTTATATATCATAAACGTATTATACATTTAACTGTATGGCTGATCATGTTGAGACACCATCCTGCCGGCACTATTATTTTTCAGTGTCCCTGCTTAATTATCAGGATTACAACAACAAAGACGAGAAAGTTGGTCCCTGAGTCTCCTAGACATTTGTAGTTTTCTTAGAGTTTTTACATATTAGAATAAAGAGCCTGTCAAAAGCATGGATGAAGAAGATCCTTGATTGTAGAATAAGCATCGTAGAATAAGGAAGGACTGCCCCCAGGAGTGACAGGGCAACACCGTCTTGGGTACTTTTAGTTTAGAGACCAGAGAGTTTTGCCAAATTAATTGACAAAGTTCATCATGCTGCTTGGCAAGCTTTGTGGATGAAATAAAAAAAATTTGTGTTTAGTTTTAAGTAACTCACATCTGAGGGAAGGATAGGAATTAGTAAGCTACTTTAGCAAGTTATTTATTTTAGAATCATTCATAGGAAAGATAATATTTAATACTTTAGGACCTTATAAAATTCAATCAATTTAGGGCAAAAAGTTTGTTTTGAGGATTTGTAGCTTATCTGGATTTGATTTTTATGTTTTCTTAAGTTTAAAAATAATATATGCTTGTTATAATAGATTCAACAGTACAGAAATGACTAAAAAAGAGAAATTATCTCCCATTCTCACTTGTAGGTTCTTTTTGTTTGTACCATATTTCATTGGCTCCAATCTGTGTTTTATTATGCCACAGTTTAACATCTCTGAAATGGGGATGCATCTTTTTTGTTTTTGTTTTTTGAAGCAGGGCCTCACTATGTAGTTCAGGCTGGCAAGACCCTTGTCTCATTATAAAATATAGAAAAGGATTGGGGCTCTAGCTCAGTGTGAAGGCCCTGTGTTCAGTCTCCTGTGCTGTGGAAAAAAAGATTTTCTTGGTTTAGGAATGTCAATCATTGTGGAGAAATACATCACAATGTTAATAGTGGTTGTCTTTTTGCATGATTTTCCCATGTGTGATTAAAAAGAAAAACAAACATTAATATTAAAACAACTTATTTTAAAGAACTGAATGCTTATGAAATCAAATACTACTTTAGAAGTTCTGAGATTGTGAACAATTATAACTGCCAGATAATGCATCTAGCATAATGTGAAACACATAAAGCAAAGATGTATACAGTAGTAAATTGATTGATTCATTAAGTGAACAGAGTGATAACTTCATTACTAATTCTTTTTCAGGGTTTTTTGATTAATTCAAAACCAGAGAATGCTTGTGAACCCATAGTGCCTCCACCAGTAAAAGACAATTCATCTGGCACTTTCATCGTGTTAATTAGAAGACTTGATTGTAATTTTGATATAAAGGTACTACTTTTTTTATTTTTAAAATTATTTGTTTAATTTTAATTTTCCTTTGTTTCAGAAAAGATTTAAGGTAGTGTACAGAATTATTCAGGTGAAAAATGAAAAAAATGAGAAAGCGATGGTGAAGGCAGAAAAGATAGGAGCAAGTTTACTTAAGTCTTACACATTTGCTGTTTGCTACACATTTACTTTAAACTACTAAAGTATCCAGTATAAAGAGAATCAGAACCATCACTTTTATGATTTTTCCTAAGAGTAAAATAAACAAGTTGGGAGTAGGATATAAATCATCACTATTGATTCTAAGAATTTTCAGGTATTTGTTGGGTAAGATGCCCAACTTGATGAAAATTTACATAATCTAATCTAGGAATGGAAGCTTCAATGGTCAGTTTTATTTTAATGCCTTAACCTTTCCAGTCCCAATACAACAACTAATCCTTACCTATATCTATGCTGACATTGTAATCTCTCTTTTGTAATATGTTTATTTTGTCACTGCATCGAGTTTTGTCTTCCTGAAGTGGGCTAAACTGCCATTTCAAATAGTAAGCAAAGTTCACCAAGCCAGATGTGGTGGTGCATGCCTGTAATTCCAGGGTGGGAACTCAGGAAGTGAGGCAGGAGGATTGCGGTGAGTTCAAGGTCAGACTGAACTATGTAGTGAGACTCTGTCTTAAACAGTGATAACAACAAAGTTCTCATAGAATCTCCCTTACTGTTATTAATAGGAAAATTTCTTAGGCCAATTATGTCAAGTAGAGTTTGAATAAAGAAAAATCAATACAAAGTAAAACAAAAATGATTTGTGGATCAGGCATCTCCTAGGACCAGAGCTGATTCTGAGCACTCTACTCAACGACATACCAACATGATCAATTAGCATTTATAGAAAAATGCAAGTAAGGGATAGACAAAAACTTCATTAGATATAGTCAGTCAACCGGGCAGTTGCTTATAGCTTAGTTAATGGGTTACAGGGCCTCCTGCCATTCTCAAAAGCTCAGTACTGTGTGTAAACTGCAGATTAGTTGGTCTTTTGGGCCCAGTGCAAGAGCTTAGTTGAAATCAATTACAGTTTTATTTAACTCTGTTTATTATCAGTGCTACTCTAAAGGGATGGTTTTTACAAATCTGCTTTTGGGCTGGTCTTGGCAGAAGAGCCACACTGGGTCTTGCATAGAACAAGCTTTGATGGTACTTTTTGTAGACTACCTCAGTGCAGTGTCTGACACATATCTGTCAGAGTAGACATGGGATATTATGTCATGTACTTTCCATAGCTTGATCATAGTTGATTACTCTCTTCAATAGGAAAGGTTGCCCTCATTCTTGCTGTGCGTGAATTTGTCTTTGTTACTTTCATTACATGGAATAAATGATACTTCCACAATAAACTCATTAAAAAAATAGTGAATGTTAAGGGGTTTGAAACTGTAGAGCACTGTGAATGATAATATCATTACTGTGGTATACTAATCCCAAATCTAAACTCTCAATAACCTTTAAATGGGAAATAGAGTTTGAAATAAAATTTAGTTAAGATTTCCTGCTCCTTAGAGTTGTTTATATAGTTTGAATTAAACTTCTATATTTGATCCAGAACTGAACTATAATGATTACAGGTTATTCCAACCGAAATAAAATATTATCCTAATATTTCATTAATTTCTTACTGCTAAGAAATTTAAAATATAGTAATTCTTTTGATTCTGAGATTTATTTCTCTATTATGCTGTGTAATTTCTGGCTCAATATAGTATTTGGTCACAAGAGATTAGATACTTGGTTGTTACTTGGTTGTTATTGTTGGGGACCAGCCACAATATACATAGATTGGTGGGGGTCCTGCAGTTCAGGCCCTGGTGTTAACTTGTCTCAGGAACAGAGAAGTACACAAAAGACCACATACTTCCTGGCTATGTGAGAAAGCCAAAATCATAGCTCCTGAGGCAAGATAACATCTACTGAGGACAATATAAAATTCAGGGGGGAAGGACCTTAACTTGTTCCCTTTGAGATGCTAAACTTGCTCCCTGTTTTACTACCCTAATCTTATTGCAGTTGCTGTTCTTGGTAGAGTATACTACCCTGTCCCCTGTGCTTCTTGCTGGCTAAATAAAAGTGGGCCCACCGTGGAGTCATTGAGCCTGTTCAGTAGAGGCAGATTCCTCCCAGTCCCCCTTGCATCTTGAATATTGTTTCTGTCTCTTTTATTCATTATCTTTCTCCCTACAGGTATTTGGGGGGTTTGATCAGCTCCTTACAGTTATAACTTTGCTTTTTATGTGAGGACAGAAGGTGGTTCTCTTTGAAAGTTAGGGAAATAACTGTTATTAAATATTTATTCATTTAGCAGTATTAGGATTGAACCTAGAGCCTTTCCACTGAACTACATGCCCAGTCCTTTTTGAAAATTTTGGGACAGGGTTTCATTAAATTACTAAGTTGTCCAGGCTGGGCTTGAATTTACAGTCCTCCTGCTTTAGCCTCCTAGAGTGATGGGATTACAGGTGTGTAAGACCATACCCAGCTCATTGAATATTTATTTTTGAGGATGAACACACAGGAATGAATAGGTAGGCTTGATCTTTCCTATGTTTTTAGTGTGTCATAATCATAAGTCTGAGGACTTCTAATGGAGTTTTTTAAAATTTAACCATTACCGTACCTCATGTCTTTCCATGTCCTGCCTTAAATTTCATGCTACAGCCACATCATCTACTTGAAGTATGCCAGGTTGCTGGGCTATGCTGACTATTCCTTTGTGCCTTTACATTATTTTCTCTGTCCAAGATAATTTTTACCAGCCATTTATCTGATTGCTTCATTATTTACATGCTGCCTGAACATATCTGCAGCTCTGAAGCCTTTACTTTTCTCTCCTCCCCCTCTTTGGTAGAGTGAATTATTTCATCAACACAGCACACTTTCACTTTGCATATAATTCCTTCATTGGTCTTTATCACTTTGTTATTTTATTATATATTTAACTTATTTGTGAGCATATGGTATTTAGAGTTCAAGTCTTAATAACATTTATATATCCATTTTGTCTCATAGTATATAAGGGGTGATCAATAAAGGTTTATTAATCTATATAAGAGTAAGCTTTCTGCTTATGTGCATTATGTATAAAAATCAAATAACAGTAAGGAATCTAGATATAATATACTCCACTGTAAAGAACAAATAACAAAGTTAAAAAACATACAACAGATTACAATTTTATCCATTAAGACTGTGCCTGTACAGTGAATAGTCTTTTTGTTTGTTTTTGTTTTTATCAGCACTGGAGATTAAACCCAGGGCCTCATGTAGGCCAGGCAAGCACTTTTAACACTGAGTTACATCCCCAGCCTCACAGTGAAGTTTAATTGGAAATTTTTTAACATTTTCCTTTCTTACTTGAGAATGGCCTGATTTAAACTTGTTTACATGTGTTTTTTTGAAGGAAAACATTTATTGGTACATTTTAGATATACATAATGATATTTTTTGTTTCTTGTTTTGTTTTGTTTTTTTGAGACAGAGTCTACAGTCTGGACTCCAGGTTTGCCTAGAACTCATTGTGTACTCCAGGCTGGGCTCAAACTTGTGATTCTCCTGCCTCAAACACCTGAGTAGGGCTATTTCAGGCATGCACCACCGTACCAGGCTCACCTGTACATATTTTTAAAGAATACATAATGCACATAAGCAGAAAGCTTACTCTTACATAGTTTAATAAACCTTTATTGAAGCATTTTTATGCACAGTGATTCTAATGAAGGTCTGGAAATAGACTGCATACATTAGCGTTCCATATTTACAATTTATTAGCAATGTGATCTGGGACAAGCTATGTTAATTCTGTGTGCTCAGTTTCTTTATCTGTAAAACAAGAATTACAGTATTCTCTACATCATAGGATTCTTTTTATTTTTCATTTTATTGGTACATTTTAGGTATACAATATAATGACATTCATCATTGGAAATTTGCACCTTTACATAAACTCTCTTGGTTCTTATTTTTTCCCCATTCCCCTGCCCTCCCTTCAACCCCTCCATCCCTCCCTATTTACAAAGACTTTGTTTCCATTTTTTCATTTTCTCATATTAATTCCATTCCCTTCTTTCTTTTTCCCTACCCCTCCCACTTCCCCTTTGCCCTTTTTCTTCCTATTTCACATTATCTATTATACCTTTTAGTCCTTATTTACACTTTCAGTTTCTTACACTAGAGAAACTATTCAGTATTTACACATACATCATAAGATTCTTGTGAGGAACAAATAAAATAATAATAATTATAGGCCTGTGCCACCATGCCCAGCAACTATAATCTTTAGTTAAAAATCTTTGCATTTTCCAAGCTTCCTAATTAATTATTCCATACATTTTAATATTAGGTATATTATAGAATCTAATAATTTGCAATGTATATACAATACTTTTTCAGAATTACAAATAATTATAACTTTGTAGATAACTCATAGTGGTTCATGAAGATATCTCTATAGTTTTGTATGAATATGTGACCTAAACAAATAGAAAATGACGTATTTGCTTATTCCTTATGTAGCTCATTAGAATTGAGTACCGAGGAAAGCTTAATTCAGCACTGTACGTAATGCTACTATTGATAATAGTTGCAGTGTTATTTTTTTGTGCTTTCTCTTATACAAAGAAACAACTAAATTATTTTACACAAACAAGAACTGGCTGTTTCTTTCAAAGTTTTCCCTGGAAAAAGGTACCCTTTGCACTATAGACAGTAAACAGAAAAGAAGGAATAAAAATTAGTCAAAATTTTTTGGATGATTAATGGTGTTGTCTATTTCAGAATTTACCTTTTGCTTTTCTTTAGATATTTTTCAAAGATAAATATACTGGAATTTAAGAAACCTGATTTTTCTTACTTCTTCCTTAAAAGTTAATGATGGAGTAAAATTTGTTTGCTTCTATAAGGGAAATGGTAGATTTTCTCTATACAAACACTCAAGTGGTTTGACTCAA